CAGAGAAGGTCCACAGGCACACGGCATCCAGGTGCATACAGGGGAGCTGAGGGTGGGATTTATCTTAGGCATATTTGCCTTTGCAGAGCCAGGTGGGGTTTTCTACAGAAAGGATGTCCTGACAGTTTGCTGATAATTTACCCTTAATGGAGGTCAGGAGTCATCCACTTGAATGGCTGAGCGTGGCACTTGGAGGATTTAGGCCCCTATTTCAGGTTGGGCATCTCACCCTAACCCTGTGAGATCAGCAGGGTTGCAGCAGCATTTATAATTCCACGGTGTAATGGTTGTTGCTCTCTGTTCCTTCAAGAAACAACAGACACCTCGGCAAAGAAGGTGGAGAAAAGGAACGATGACAAATCCATACAGGATGCCCGAGCTCGCTACCTCCAGAGGAAGCAGCAAAGGGCACAGGGTATAAATGCCACGCTGGAAGAGAGTGGCTGACAGCGACAAGGACTTCAGGCCTGACAAAGGCATTCGGTGTAATTGCTGTGCAATTGCTGTTGGTACATTCACAGGGTACAAAAATCCCCAATGTTGACAACAGCGTGGCACAGACCAAAAGAGTTACCGGTTCCTGCGGAGTCTGCCTGCTTGGGGGTACGACCTGATCCTCTCTGCCATGTCCACGAGGGATGGCGAGGAAAGGTTAACGAGTTGAATTTTCAATCCCATGTATCACCGGCTATAACTCATCCCCTCACGGTCGTGGAAGAAAAGGCAGCCTTTACAGCCCGTGCCTGTTTTATGGCGCTTAATTGGAATTGGGGTTGATTTATGAAATCATTTCCCTGCCACTTGTAGTCACTTTTTCTTGAACAGTATTTTTAAATGGGATGTGGCTTTGCAGTATTAGCTGCATGTAACATGTTTTATTTCTCTCTGTATATTGGGGATTTACCTGACCTCTTTGCGGTCATGTCCCTGTGATGTATTCAGACCATTTTAATGCAGCGTGTGCTGTTTTATTGATGGAAACCTAAGAATCAAAGCTCCAAATGGCTTGTTATTCACATTGTCTCTGGGTTATGCAGGATTGTTCCTTGCTCTGTATTTAGCTGTCCCATGCTCAGTGACAGCTTTCGTATTAAAATGTATTATTTGTATGCAAATGATTTAGTGAATGTATACTTTACATTGTTGCTTATGAGTCATAATCTGTGTGTCTTGAGGTGACTTGCCCAGCATTGCCTGTTACCTTCCAATCGGCAAAGAAACAGCAGTTGCTCTAGTTTCCCTCTCAACAGATGGGTTTCAGCCTACAGTCCCACAGAGGCCTGCTTACTTGATTTATTGATGGATTTTAATAATTGTCCTCAAGAGCTGTTTATTTCTGGCAAGTATTTAATGGAGAAAAGAGATGCTGGCTGCTTTCTGGACATGAGAACAGTATTTTACTTTCTTCCTTCTCTCACAGTTCAAATTTAAGGTGACATTTAGATAGTAAGTGCAAGAGGGGACTGTGTCATCCCGTGCTTGATTGTCAATAAATAGTGAATGTTCTACATAAAACCAATACCAGGAGTCAGGACAAACTCCAGAAATGACACCAACACGTCTCTGTGTCATAAGGCCATGCTTGCAACGTTTGTTCAGCTCTGTGCTCTCATAAAAGCCCTCTTGGCTAATCGGCTTGATATGTTTTGCTTCTCACTTGAAATCAACTGCAAAACTCCTGGCCGCTTCACAGAAAGGAAGAGCTGCACCTGCTTACCCCCTCTTGCCACCCCAGGCATGGGTCTTTTGGAGCAGTGCAGCAAGCATGGCCTTACAGCGGTGTGGCTGTTTCAAAGGGGTAGATGCAAAGCAGCTATGGAAATGAAACCTGACGGGTTGTGTGCAAGGCCGCGGCGGCTGGGCCATATTTTTAGTTCTTAAAACTGACAGGAAGTTAAGGGCTGGGCCCTAAGAGGACTGACGCGCTGGAGCACTTAGCTTTAGGCGTATAGAGCCCAGAGTGGAAACCACAGCCCCGATGGAGGCTGCTAAGATCTCCGTCCAACGTACAGGGAGCACAGGGCCCCTCAGAACAGCTGCCATGCCAAGCGGGAGCCATCTAAACTAGCCAGTGGGACATGTTAGAGAGCGGCATCATTCAACCCCAGATCAAGGACCCCCTGTGCTGGGTTAGGCACCTCTCAGACCAGCATTCACAGCCCTGAGCCTTTCTTCCACGTTTGAAACCTCAGCCAGACCTTTAAAAACCCAAATCATTTTTTTTTTCCTTTTAAAACGACACCAGAGGTGAAAGGGTGCTGTCCCCATTCCCCCTCTTCTGTAAGAGCTCAGCAGCTGGAAGAGCACTTGCCCAAGATACACAGGGCCTGGGTTCGATCCCAAACCTCTCTTCTCTCTGGAGAGGAGGCAGCCTTCGGTTGTTCTGCTGGGGGGACACTCTCCACATCTGTTGAAGCTGTGCCACTGGGCAGAAAGGCTGGGAAGAATCACTGGGCCACAGCAGGCTTGCTGGGAGCGTGCTTGAGGTTTTGGGCCCTATCCAAAGAGACAAGACGACGCGATGCCTTTCTTAAAGGGCTTGTGATCCAGAGAGGCTGTGAGATGAATGCTTTTCTGTGGGGTGAGGAGAATCAAAAAGAGTCTTTGTGCATGCTCTACCACTGCAAAGAAGTAATGCATTTAAGGCTCTTTCTCAGTTGGGTTTTGCTGGAAGATTTTAATTCTTTCGCCCTGTGCATCAACCTCTGCCTTTTAGCAGCCAACCTGTCCTGTGCCTCACTAACTCTATAGTCTCTCTGATTTTGTGAGGGGCCTGGGAGTACCACACACTTGGGATTTTAAGGTAAATGTCATGTTATTCAGCTTCGCTGCTTGCAAGCAAGATTGTGTCCGCATTGTGCGCTGAGTTTGTCTGTATGCACAATATCCATTTCTGCTTGGATCATGCTTCCCAACACTTCATAATACTAAACTTTCCTTTGGCTTCAGTGGTAGCAGTAAACTATTTTTTTGCACTGGAAATGGGAACGGCAGCGTGTCAGGATTTTGCAGGCACGCAGTCATAAATAAATAGGCACCAACTACCGTGTCTCTTGTTATGACCAAAGTACGTATTTAGAAGGCAAAAAGCTTCCGATTAATTGCATCATAAAATAACGTGCAGCATCACTCAGCTGAGCTTTCTCCTCCTGACTATAAAACCTTTTCAATGTTGTAAATTTTCAGGCTTGAAATTGTGAACGTAAGGCAAAGCAAGCAGCAGACGGTAGGAAGAAATAATGCTACCCCTGCCACAATCCCATAGCATAAGAAGAACGTGAACTTGGATCGACAACAATGTCCTTAATTTAACACTCGACACAGCGCCTTACAGCATGTGTGATGCTTTATCAGAGGATCTGGCGTC